AAGGCAGATTGAGAATGCTTGGCATTGTGATGGTCAGGTGGTTGAGCAGTATTCTACTAGGAGCAAGGACGCTACTAGGGGCTCCTGGCCTTACTACTAGGAGCAAGGACGCTACTAGGGGCTCCAGGCATCGCTAGTAGGAGCAATGCTCGCTACTAGGAGCAATGTAGCAACACCCTGCCTGGGCAGTATTCTGCCCCCACCCAGTTCAGAAGAACAGTCAGCAGGTCACTAGCAGGTCACTAGCAGGATGGTCAGCTCCTGTCCTGTTCTCCACTGTAGCTACAAAAGCGCTCAAAGACGACAAACACTAACATTATGGACCAAAGCTTTGATCTGTTTGCCAATGCGTAATCAAAGCTGACTGTAAAACGATCAAGTGCAACAGCATGTTTCCATGCAGCGCAGCAAGACGATTGAGGGTTTTACTCTTGAAATGCAACATACATGAAAGCTCGAGTGGATCTACAAAAGGAACGTGCTGTTTTCCATCAAAAGGCCAGAGCCTCCCCCGCACTTTTTAGTAGGCCTTGAAGGTATAGTAAAGGCGGGTAGAAGTAAGATGGCTGGGAGTAAATAGAAGCGTCTCCCACCTGAGGGTTGGATAAACACTTGGGCCAAGGCCATCGCTATTGGGTTGGAGGTCATCGCTATTAGGTTGAAGGCCATCGCTATTAGGTTGGAGGCCATCGCTAGTAGGTTGGAGCCCATCGCTAGTAGGTTGGAGCCCATCGCTAAAATTGAATTTAGTTTAAACATGTTTAACCTTAGATTGTCTTCCTCGTTGCCTTTGCCGCAGGTTTTGATCCTGGCAGCTTTGTGAAGGTCTGCGAGTTTGATTTTGAGAGGCAACGACCATTGACCGTTGATGACCGTTGCCTTTGAAGGCAACGACCCACTATGATGACATCCTCTTTGCGGAGGTGCCAAACAGGGATGACTCAAATCAAGGCTTTAAGTGGGCTCGATCAGATTCGAGCTGTTTGTAGACATTTACATACATTTACTGTAAGCATATATCATAGTTGCTGGATGAGTTTTTGCCACGAACAAGAACAGAATCATCATCTCGCTGACACAACATGAAACGAAGAAGAAACACCGCGCACCTACCACAATCGGCTTCGCGCGAAGCTTTGCTTCCCTCGCCTTTTTGAGGCTCGTGGGGAAGCCATTGCCAATGAGATTAGCGATCATCTCAGCAGGCAACGAGTGATGGATCGACTGGTCGATTGATGGATTGTCAAGTGATCAATAATCAATCCCCGCCAGGCATGCTCGGCTGCTGTGTGAAACTGTCACTGTGGGCACGAGTAGTGCCAGCAGCAAGGAGGTAGGCTCCAGTGTGCGCACGTGGATCCAAAGCGTGCACACGTGGATCACGTCGTGTGCAATGTGAGGGCATTTGTGGGCATCGAACGAAGGAAAAGGAAGACAGATGAAAGATGAAGGAGAAGAAAGAACGAAGGTTCAAAGGTTTTCAAAGGTTCAAAGTAACGACCTTTGTTCAACAATTGAGTCTGAAGGACCCAAGGAGTCACATGAAAGATACTTTGCTAGGTTGGAGTCGGTGGCCATCGCTAGCAGCTTTCAAACATGATACTCCCTGTTTTGCCACAAAGCCTTGCTTCGGAGAGGTGCCCTTGCCTCGGCCTGACATGCATTGCGATGGGACTCCAAGGAGTTGGAACACCGGATGTCCAAACTGTTTGCGCTGAATGGAATAGTAACAAGTTACGATCAACGTGACTAGTGTAACGGCAAGGTATGATGTTCACCATTATCTTCAAATTCCTGAAAGGAATCCTCAACGACCCGAGTGGACGGACAAGTTCGAGGTCGCTGTGCAAGGTCCATACCTTGACGAGTAGGTTGGAGGCCATCGCTTCTAGGTTGGAAGCTATTAGGATGAAGGCCATTGCTAGTAGGAGCAAGGCCGCTACTAGTAGCTCCTGGCCTTGCTACTAGGAACAAGAAGCTACTAGTAACAAAGGGCATCGCTACGAACGGAGCAAGGAAGCTACTGGAGACAAGAAGCTACTAGTAACAAGTGCATCGCTTCTAGTAACAAGTGCCTTACCAGTAACAAGGACGCTACTAGTAACAAGTGCATCGCTTCTAGTAACAA